TAGTCCCCTTGTGGAAGTTTTTGAAATGCCCAGGCAAAACAGACAATGAAACCAGACACCCTGGGCATGGGGCCCAGGCACCAGTGTTTTGTAAAGCCCCTCTGGTGATTCTAAGGTGAAACCAAGGGGAAGAGCCACCAGGCAGGGCCATGCATCTCTTGAGTACCCTACATCTACATTTCTGAATCCTTAAGAATAAGCCACTGCTGCGGCTGGGGTTGTAGCTCAGTGGTGGAGCGCTAGCCCAGCAGGTGTGAGGCACTGGGTTCGATTCTCAGCACCACATAGAAATAAATAAAATCAAAGTTATATTAACAACTAAAAAAATTAATAAGAATAAGCCACTGATAATGTAAGGAGACCGCGATGACCCTGAACAGAATGATCAAATGTCATCAGTTCTGTAAAGCAATCATTCATTAGGCACCTCAATAAACAATCTACCATTTATAAACAAAATGAGATAAAATAATATTTAAAAAAATAAATTATAACTCTATTTTGACTAAATTGTAATGAAGAAAGAGTTAAGTGATGATATTTAAACTACCTATGCAAGATAAAGAATATAAATCACCAGGAATGATATTCAGCTTACCCAAGGATTTTGATGAGTGTAGCCTTCAGAATAGTTAACTTCCAAATCCATTTAGATTCTAATACTCTCATTCTATAGTTTGACTTTTATCCACATACCAACTTCTTTAATAGAAATTGCCCATATGCTGTACGATGCATGGTTGACATATTTTGCATTTGCTTAACAGCCATATTCCATGATTTAAGGTGACGTTCGTAAGGGCAAAACAGCCAAATAATATCTTAATAACAAGATGGTTTTAAAAGGGCACTCAAGGCAAAATGTGAATGTGGCATTTTAACATTGATTAGTAACATGAGTATAATGTAGATATTCCATCTAAAAGCTAAATTCAGCATGTCAATTCTGTTACTGACTTACACAGATATTCTTTCCTTTTGAGTAAATGGTAAAATCTTATTATGAGGAAAATCAATTTTTTTTAACACACAAGGAGGAATAAGGTAATTACTGATTATATTTTTATGTATGTTAAAGTTTAAAGACTCAGGTTAATTTTTATTCTCATCATGGAAATATTATAATTGGTATATTCCTTAAGTGTAGAAGGTGATACCAGCTGTTCCATTATACATTGTATCAGCTCAGGGACTTAACTCATGTGCCTGGGAGCATATGCTTTTTAGAAAACATTTTAGTAAATGTTTAGTGAACATTTGGATGTTGTCACAACTCTGGAGAGAAAGTGCATTCTATTATTTTAATTATATTTTTGCATGTGGCTGTGTATCATTACATTCCTCTAAAAAGTGATTTTGAAATATGACTATACATATACATATAAAACTAAGCAATGAAAGTATGCATACACATATATATGAATTGTACTCATGCAAGTTGAATTCTTTAGAGAAAATATAACATATATGTGCTATGAGTTATGATCAATTCTTATTCCTTTTGCATAAAAATGCTTAAACCAAGTATTGAAGTAGTTCTAGTCAAAATATCTGTCCTATTAATTAATATAGGTTTGTTTTGGTTTAGGTACACTACAACTAAAAAAAAAACAATGATACCTGAGACAATATCAGTAACAAGATTCACAAAGATAAAACACAATCTGTTATTTTTGGAGATCTACTTATATTAATAACCTATCTCTTTGTGTTTCATCATTTTCCACAATATCCCATATTATAGAATTCTACACCATTTGAAATGGAAATTAAGTCATAGGCACGTGTTCCAGTTTCTGTGACGCTCACATTCAATGTGAAGCATGAACAAGCAGAAGTATTACTAAAAGTTTATTGTAAGCATAAGCAAGCACGACAAGCAAGGCTTGGCTAACCACCATGACGGTGCAAGTCCATGAGGGGAAAGACTAGAACAAATCCTGTTTCAGAGCAGAGCAAATGAGAGGAAATACACCTAGGGGCATTGAAAGATAATCAAGTGCAGAGAGCAGAACATGAGGGGGGTTGGCAGCAAGCCACATACCCTCGCTCAGTGAGTGCTTGGCAACACCACAGGAGATCATGAGTACTCTCCAGGTGTGTGTGTGTGTGTGTGTGTGTGTGTGTACACACACATGCACAGAGGTAGTGCAAAGAATAAGGACTCCAGTGGAGATCCCCAAAAGAGAGTCAGCATCATAGTATTTCACCAGCTGGTGGAGAGGCAAGAGCCAAAAGAATTTAGAGGAGAATTACGTAACTTGGAGTTCGAATGGCGGGGCAATAAAGTTAGTGAAACCAAAGAATGTGTGAAGGTCAATTATCAGATGGAACAGAAAAGGAGAAAGAGGTAGGGAACAGGCTTAGTGTCCACACTCAAGGTGAGCATCAGTTACTGCTGAAGACCAGCTTTCCTGTATCTCCTGACTCAGGACAGGACTGGCTCCAGATGAGCTGGGACAGAGGTTCCAAGCTCTGATGGAAAGGGGTTGGGGTGTGCAAGTGATCTGAGATGGTAAAAAAGAGAAATGCAAAGGTTGGATACCAGAATTCTAGAAACAAATTATAATAAATTTTTTATTCCTATGGGATGCGAATTTTAGCACTATCTGCAAACACACTTCTGCAGAAAAAAGGAACAATCAAAATTTGAGTTTCATAGTTTTGTCATGAGTCATATAATTAACCAGAGATGTTTGTACTAGACCCCTAGCGTAACAGAAATAATTTAAATATTTTATCCTAACCTGTCAAGAACATTTAGGTATGCAAAGTTTCTTAATGGAGTGCTATCACTTAAGTCAGGACAAAAACATAAAGAACTCAGATACTGCCATATTTTCGGTCTAAGCAGCCTGGGGCAATACACTTTCTGCAGACTCAACTATCCATTAGTTATTCTTCACATAAGAATTATAACAAATTATAAGCATTAGAACGTCTGAAATAAAGATTTCTTTCTCCACCCACATGCTGGTGAGTATGTTATATGTCACTCCAGACATTTATTTTCTCTTGAATTTTATTGGAGCGAATTTGCATTTTGAAGGGCAGTACAAAATGATATATAAAATTTAAAATTAAAACAAGCTACATAATTCTCACACAGTTTGTTTATTCCTGATGCCAAATTTAAAATATGCACACTTGCACACACGTAAATGAAATTGTTTGACTTTGGGAATTCAAAGGAAAAACAGCATAATTAGAATCAATAATATGAAGCTCAATAAATGCCAAATTTTCTGTTGTGGTATCACAAATATTATCATTTTTTTTCCTAATTGTAGTGATTGGAGTAGAATCTTACTTTTTGCCTACAGGTCTGTCAACTTTTCTGTCAGGACCTAATTTTTTCATAAAAGAACACAATAAAGCTTCAAAGCTTTCCTGGTGTAGGGCCTCTGCAGCTCTTAACAGCCTAATCGTTCTTTTGTTGTTTCAAACAAAGAAGCCTTATTCCATTTGAGCAGATTGTTTTAAATGTTTCTTTTTCAAAATTAATTTTTATCTTTAAGAAAAGGTACAGCCTTTACATCACTATTCCATAACAAGAAAGCAGGTTTCTTAACCGCTTTGTAGTCTACATGGCAATAAATGACAGACGTCTGCTATTTAAGCCCTGGGGAAAAAAAAATAATGTATTATCACCTCATTCCTGGCTAACATAAACTTGTTAATAACTGAGGTTTATGAATATTTATCACAAGACCAAATAGTTAAAGAGACAGACTGTACCACTCTGATTTTCAGGTAGCACTTCTGATATTTGTGTCATTTAACACTGGTTAATCCGACGACTGTGGCTTTAAATATATAGATATCTGAATTTGTCATATCTTTTGTGAATCTTTCCCTCTTTGCATAGCAACACATTCTGTTTAATTTCCACTGAAAATTACTCAAAGCTTTGTTTGCAGACAGTTTTAGTCTTGGCCAAATCTTCTATAGGAAGCAAAATCAGACCTGCAATCAGTAAAAAGAGTAGAAATAGACACAGTTGTTAAATGAAAATGTTAAAAGACTCAGCACAGGCCTTTGAAGATGCAATCTTGGAAGATGTGCGTGTTTTTATAAAGTGAAATGCAGCTCCACATTCCAGAACCTCCATTGCTCTCAGGGGTCGGTTGGCGCCTCTATTTGCTTCTTCATTCTTCACTCCTAGTGATTTCTTGTATGTGCTCTCTTTTCCCAGAGAGAAGTTTCAATTGAGCTGAAAGCCTGAGAACTCTTAAGTTCCGATGAATGGTAATGAGCATTGTCAAAGACCAGGGAAATTGAGTCCTTGGTTCTGGCTGCTGAGCCGCAGGAGTTAATTGTGTGGATGGTAATGAGACCAGGAAGGCAGCAGATGCTCCTGCCTTTACAATCCAAATCCCACCAACAAATTCCTCCCACAGAACTCTGAGGGACATCTTGGCACCCTGGAGATGGAGATAGACCCAGCCATAGCCACATGCCACCTGCTTGACCTATTGTTTAAAAAAAAAAAAAAAGAAAAAGAAAGGTCCATTACAATAACAAAGTTGTTTGCAGTCCTTTGCCATGACTTTATGGCACCAGCTTTACCACAGTAGAGGAATGGAGCATCTGATTTTGAAGATGTGCTTGCACACAAAACAGGCAACAACTAACAAGGAAGGTGTTCCGTGTTCCGGATATGATGCATATCCTTCTGATAAACCATGCCTGCCCTTTCCTCTTGTGACTCTACCTGAGGCTATTTTTTTTTTCAGTAGCAGATTTTTTTAAGACCCTATGTTTTTTGATGAGCTTAAGAAAAGCGGTCTTTCTTTTTGTCCCTACAGATAAATCAAAAGTGAAAAAGTTTAGAATTGTTGTAAAAATTCATGTCTAAATAAAAAGCTTAAATTTGGTGTTTTGAATCGTTTTAGCCAAAATGTTCTGTGAATGACCTATTTTTATCGAGTTTGAGTTGTTGCCAGTGATCATTTAGCAAATTATTGTTATTAGCACTTAGCAAATTATCCCTGTTTTAGGAAAATGAATGAACAAAATGGAGACAAGTAAAATTCGAAGTGACCCTCATCCACTGGCTATTCAGGTACGTGTGGCAGTTTTCCATGTGACAGTTGGACACTTTCTATGAGAACAGCAAAATGGCATGAATTCTAAGAACTCAAATATATGAGTTACTTTCATTTCTAAGGACGTTAATGTTTGCTTTTTCAAGAAATCTTGGTATTATATTCCTTATAGGAAATAGTGGACTTATTTCTAGTATCAGGAAAGAGGATTAATTTAAATGACTACTGCAGATATGGCAGATTTGTGCTGCTTATATGGCCCTAGGAGGGAGCCTCCCTGTTTCTATGTCAAACAAAAGCTGCTTAAGACCTCAAGTTTTGATTCAACTAGTTGACTCTCATTGCCATAAATGCAATTAGTTAGGCTGGAAATTCTGAATGCATTGTATAAAACCTTTGATAATTATGCATTTAAAAATGCAGATTTTAGATTGAAATATTTACATGCTTTGTCAATTTATAACATTATTATGAATTCAGGTATTGGCTACATACACTCAGTGGTACTGGATCATTCTGTTTGTAGAGATGCAAGATTCTATAGTAAATAAAAAACTGTGTTATTTCCATAACAATAAAATATGTGCTTCTGACTTACTGAGAAGTCAGATATGGAAGCATGTGGGAACAATATGTAAATGCCAAGCAAGCTGTTTATACTGGGATATGCTCCTGCATAATAATCATAATCCAATCCTAGCAGAAACCTTTTGAATTTAAAACATTGTGAGTTACAGCAAAACAGAACGAACCACAGCAAATGTTGTACTTGCTGATTATATGTGAAAAAACTCAAATATTTTTATTTTTTATTTTTATTTTATTTTTATTTTTTGCAAATTAGGGATTTCTATAAGTTTACCACTATCCAGTAAGATCTTTTAAATTATTTTATTGTGCTTTGGTGAACTGATCTGGAAAACAAAAAGGAGCATTTTGAGATTTGCTTTAATATATTCCTATTACTAGAAGAACATATTAAAACAGGAATGTGCAGCCATTTTGTCTATAAAAAATTTGTATTGAGAGTTGTGGAGAATGTGAATATTGCTTTATGATTTCATTATATTCATGTTAGAAATTCAGAAAGCTTATGTAGATTATTTGTTTCTTTAAATTTAAAGAATATTTTGTGTTATTCATTTGGATGGTTAAATCCAGTACTTTTGTCTAAGATAAAGCACATTTGCTTGCCTTAAATTATATTGTTTTACCAAAAAAATGTTAATGCCTTTCATTGAGCCTCACAAAAGAAAGCCAAGTTTCTAGAAAAGTCTATCAAAATAAATGATGCATTCTTGAATAGTCAAAGTATGTAGGATATCCAGGTGAACATTTTAGGCCTTCCTCCCAAACTTAGAATTCAATCATTTATTAAAAAATATATTGTGGAGAGTAACTTGTCCCGATGGAGCCCAGTGGTGGTACACACCATGACACAGTGCCAGAAGGTCACCAGGGGGGGGTGGTGGGGGGTCTCTGGTCTCAGGTTGGCATCACCATCCTTCACTAAGCTACCCTTCTGTGTCCACGCCCTGCTCAGCTCTCTTACTCGAAGTTCACAAAGTTTCTGACTCTAACATGAGAATCTAAATACTTCCTTTCCTTTTCTACTCACCTTCTCCTTGCACCTGTTGCATCTGTTAATTTAGAGATGATTAGGTTGTGATTCTTTCTAGAGAAGCCTGGTCTCAGGAGATATGAAATAATTTGTGCAAGATGTCCTTCCTAAGGGGTCTGAAGTATTTGCCCCCCCCCAAAAAAAATATCATCTCTAGCTTCACCTCCTCAGTGTTCCTTCACCTCTGTCTTGGAATCATTTCCATTAATGCTGTAGAATGATCATTCACATGGATAGCATTCAAAGTACAAAATGGAGACAATTGTTTTGTTTTTATTTTTTGTAGTATAGGTTGCAATAATGTTCCACAAGACAATTCACTTTACTGCATATTAATATTCTTTCCTTCATAGCTTCACAGTTTTGGAAAAGGAAATAATTTTTAAAGTGGTCAATACTACAAAGAAGTGGATTTTGGAGGGTGACAAAGTACCTAAATTTATCACCTACTATACTTTAGCTGTGTAAACATCTACTTAAACTTTGTGACTTTTAGTCCTCTTATACATTAAATGGTTCTAGGATTAAAATGGTGGACATACCTTGTTCTCCATGAAACATTCGGTCTCTATTCAACCTTGTTAACTGAACCTCAGCACTTTGTTCTATACAAAGGGACAAAACTCTCCTTTCACCCCAGGGTTAAGACAGTCCTAGTTTATGCCAATCAGGACAATTCCATTCTTGTTGCTAGAGATTGGTTAAAGAATGCCTGTGACACAATTCTGACCAATAGGAAACTTCTAGAAAACACTTTATTTCTTGATGAAAGAAGATGTATTAGGAGATATTATCTTTTTGGTAACTCTGTATCTGAGTAAAGATACTTTTCTTAGAACTGCAGCAGCTATCCTGAGATAATGAATGAACCCATGAAGAGTGGACAAACCAGAACAATTGGAGATCAAAGCTCAGGAAGGTGAGAGAGTCCTGACTCATGGGGGTGTCAATGAGCTGCTTAATCATTCAACATTGGAAATGTCTTATCTTTTGTATCTTGTGTTTAGAGATAATAAACTTATTCTTGAAAGCTTTGGCTTGGTTCCTTTATTTATATGCTACATGACTCTAACAATTGTAAACATTGCATTATTAAAATTACAGTAGAGTAATAAAAGAAGAAATATATGTAAATTGCTGGCACAAAATGTGCAGCAACTGTAATGTTTACTTTCATTTTACTCTAAGGCTCTTTAAGCATTAGTCGAGATGTTGCTATTTTAGATAGTACTTTTATAGTAAACAATCTATACTGTTAAATTTGCCCTTTTAATTACATTGTGGAAGATATGTTTTCTGAAATGGTTTACTGATATTTTGCACATATTTTACAAGATGCCTATATGAGAAACTGCTTTGGAAGTCAAATTCTCTTGGATAGCTAACATCAGCTATAATTAATCAATTAATTTTTTTTACAATTAACTTATCCAATTTAAAATAAATATTAGATGATAAAAATGCACTATGTTCTCATAAATGGTAGCTTGCAAAATGTCTTAAAATAGTCATTAATTTCAATCAAGGTCTAGCAATCCTTTGAAGATCTTTTATATACAGTCATGTGACAATGACAGGGATGCATTCTGAGAAATTCATCATTAGTTGTCATTGTATGGACATCACAGAGTATAATTACACAAATTAAGTTGACTGAAACTTCATTAGGCAATATGATCTTTTTAAACCACCACCATATATGGTCTTAATGTTTTAAAATATCCCTATATGAGGAATCTCCGTACTGTTTTCCATAGTGGTTGCACCAATATGCAGTATCACCAGCAATGTATGAGTGTGCCTTTTCCCCCACATCCTCGCCAACACTTATTGCTGCCTGTGTTCTTGATGATTGCCATTCTGACTGGAGTGAGATGAAATCTTAGTGTAGTTTTGATTTGCAATTCTCTAATTGCTAGAGATGTTGAACCCTTTTTCATATATTTGTTGATAGATTGTATTTCTTCTTCTGTGAAGTGTCTGTTCAGTTCCTTAGCCCATTTATTGATTGGATTATTATTATTTTTTGTTGTTGTTAGATTTTTTTGAGTTCTTTATATACTCTAGAGATTAATGCTTTATCAGAGGTGCATGTGGTAAAGATTTTGTCCCAGTCTGTAGGGTCTTTCTCTCCTCACTTTATTGTTTCCTTCGCTGAAAAGAAGCTTCTTAATTTGGATCTATCTCATTTATTGATTCTTAATTTTACTTCTTGTGCTTTAGGAGTCTGGTTAAGGGAGTCTAGTCCTAGGCCAACATGGTGAAGATTTGGGCCTATTTTTTCCTCTATTAGGCACAGGGTCTCTGTTCTAGTGCCCAAGTCTTTGATCCATATTGAGTTAATTTTTGTGCAGGGTGAGATGTAGAGATTTAATTTTATTTTGCTACATATGAATTTCCAGTTTTGCCAACACCATTTGTTGAATAGGTGTCTTTTGGCACCTTTGTCTAGTATGACATAACCATATGTATTTTGGGGTTTGTCCCTGTGTCCTCTATTCTGTACCATTGGTCTACAAGTCTATACTGGTGCCAATACAATGCCTTTTTTGTTACTATAGCTCTGTAGTATAGTTTAAATTCTGGTAGAGTGAAGCCTCCTGCTTCAAAATTTTCTTGCTAAGGATGGGTTTAGCTATTCTGGGTCTCTTATTTTATTTTTCCAAATAAATTTCATGATTGCTTTTTCTATTTCTATGAAGAATGTCACTGGGATTTTAATAGGAATTGCATTAAATCTGTGTAATGCTTTTGGTAGTGTGGCCATTTTGACAATATTAATTCTGCCTACCAAGGAGCATGGGAGATGGTTCCATCTTCTGAGGTTTTCTTCAATTTCTTTCTTTAGTGTTCTTTAGTTTTTATTGTAGAGGTCTTTCACCTCTTTTGTTAGATTTATTCCTGTGTGTGTGTGTGTGTGTGTGTGTGTGTGTGTGTGGTTTTGAGGCTATTGTGAACAGGGTAGTTTTCCTAATTTTTCTTTCAGTGGATTCATCCTTGATGTATAG